TATTATTTAGTAGAATACTGTACTTTATTCACTCTTATGTGAGTAACTTTTGGGAATTTCCATAATTTTTGCTTGTTATGTTTATGAATAATTGTATAATGAGATCATTTCGACAACATTTACATACGATTGCGATTGTATTGACATATTTCAAGTTAGCAATATTTTTTACGATTAGGTAGGTATTAAAAACGAAGTTAAAGTGGTGTAAAAATTTAAAGAGCGACGAGTTTCGCTAATATTGATCCAACTTTGTGTCGTGAAACGCGTGGAAAGTGGAAAGTTGGCTGCCTTGCTGGAACTTCCTTTTGTTACCTATTAACTATTATTTTTAGATCGCGAGCGCGCACCAAAGCACAAAATAATAAAAAAGAACAATGTTAAATGCTACGGACGCGACTGGTAAAGTTTACAATAGATAACATAAGTCGTAATGTCGAAACTAAACGTCGTTGAAGCGCGTTTTAATTATTCATAATTCGTTTCAAGGTATTTGGCATTTATTGTTTCTAGTTAAGTTTTAGAGGTTTTCTCGAAAAGTACTTGAGATAAAATTATCATTTTTTCATGAGTTTGTTTTTTATTAAATTCTACGTCGGAGAGATAAAGATTTTTTTGGTTATATTGTTTAAAAATAAAGTTATGAACAATTAAAGTTGAATTTTGTAATAAAAATAGCAAAATTGTTACAAATTTGTTTATAACTTTTGAAGAAAAATAGTTATTTATAAAATTATTTCATATTTAGATTCAGAATTTTATTCTTAATAGATTTGTGAAAAAAAATTAAAAATATTTTAATTTGTTTAGGAGTTATTCATTAAAAACTAACAAAAATCAATTTTTATGTGAAAAACTAATTTTTTGGTAATTTTCGCTTTAAAAACAAGTTTACTGCCTTGATACTAAAGTGAAAGTTTATAAAATTAGATTAATTAATTCTACATTAAATTCTATAACTAATTCACAAAGATTTTCCTAATTATTTTATCAGAAAAAGAAATTATAAAGAAATAAAGTTTAATTTTATAAGAAAAAATAACAAATTTGTTACAAATTTGCTTATAACTTTCGATATAAAACAGTTATCAATAAAATTCTTTCATATTTAGATAAATATTTTAATTCTTAATAAATTTGTGAAGAAACAATTAAAATAACCTAAATATTTTAGGAGTTATTAATTAATAACTAACAAAAATCAAATTTTTTTCTGGAAAAATCAATTTTTCTGTATTTTACCCTTAAAAAATCACTTTACTACTTTAGTAAATAAAATAAAAGTGTCAACTGGAGGATTAATAAGTGGTACACGCAACTTTTTTCACGTTCCACATCTTCCCAAAGCCCTCCCCGAATTGATTTCTGTGAAATTTCCTGTCTCGACATGTCGAAATCGTCTAATGTGGTGTGAGTAATCTATTTCAATGTCGTGTGTCTCGGCCATCGACAACAGCGTCGGTCTTTTAATATCCCGACCGGATTCGGAAGCACGTTCCACCATCGTTTGACCGGCGTGCGGGTGGGTGGTGTGCGACTTCCACACGTTCGGCAATAAATTCCTTTCCTCGCACTCACACACAGCCACAGCGAAAATATTTCATTCAAAGAAACACCTCTTTTTTTTTTCTCTTTTTCTCGGTTTTTCTGTGTGTGGATTTGTGTGTGTGTGTGTGTGTGACCGACTACCAGGTAGGTAAATAATGGAAGCAGATCGACGGTGTAGGTGGTTGTAGTACGTGGCGAACGTGCGATACTTGAAATTAATCGCTCGTAAAAACGGCCAACAACAATAAACATACATTTTCGATGTTTTTGGAATTTCGTGGATGGTTATACCGTGAGAACTGGGAAAAATTGAATTTTTTTCGAAGAAAGTGCGTTTTTTTATTAAAATTTTTCAATATTTTTGGTTTAAAGAGAGTAAAAGTCAATAAAATTATAAGTTTTTTAAACAAATTGATGGTATATTAAATTCTACAACTAATTGAGTTAGTTTTTGGTCATAAATTTAATTGGAAGAGAAGTTATGAATAATTAAAGTTTGATTTTGTAAGAAAAAATAATAAAATTGTTACAAATTAGCTTATAACTTTTGATTAAAATAAGTTATTGATTAAATTCTTTCATATTTAGGTAAAGAATTTAATTCTAAATAAATTTGTAAACAAATTGCCAAATAAAGTTAAATAGTTTAGGAGTTATTCATAAATAACTAACAAAAATCAATTTTTCATATGAAACTAACCTTTAAGAAAACTGATTGTTACTAATTGGCTTATAACTTTTGTTTGAAAATAGTTATCAATAAAATTCTTTCATATTTAGGCAAAGAATTTAATTCTATATAAATTTGTAAAGAGATTGTTCAAAAAAGTTAATTAGTTTAAAAGTTATTCATTAATAACTATCAAAAATCAATTCTTCATAAGAAAAACTAAACTTTAAGAAAACTAATTGTTACAAATTGGCTTATAACTTTTGTTTAAAAATAGTTATCAACAAAATTCTTTCATATTTAAGTAAAGAATTTAATTCTAAATAAATTTATAAAGAAATTGCTAAAGAAAGTTAAATAGTTTAGAAGTTATTCATTAATAACTAACAAAAATCTTTTTTTCATATGAAAAACTAAATTTTAAGAACACTAATTGTTACAAATTGGCTTATAACTTTTGTTTAAAAATAGTTATCAATAAAATTCTTTGATATTTAGATAAAGAATTTTATGCCGAATAAATTTATGAAGAAATAATTAAAATAATTTAATTAGTTACGGAGTTATTCGTTAATAACTAACAAAAATCATGTTTTGATGTGAAAAACTAAATTTTCGGTATATTTCATTATTTTGATGATTATTTCAATAAGATATATAGAACAGCAATCAGAGCGAACTACTCAACACTGACGTCACTTCCGCCACCAGTTTTCCGCGAGTTTAGGCAGGAATTTAAGTAATTACAATCAAAAATAACATTTTTATCAACAAAAACATAAAAACATTTTTTCCATTATAAATTATCTTCTTTTTTTCAAAATCTAAATACAATCATTATCCCTGCCTATTATAAGCAGGTGTAAATTGTAATTGTAAATATTCTCGTACATTGTAAGTGCCTTTCCGCATCGATTCCGTCCATCGCGCGACGTGCTGAAATGCTTCAATTGTCGCCGTCGCCGCCGTGTTTGATTTCGGTTTAGTCAAATAATTGATTTTTTTCCTCCTTGGATGAAAACTGAACGTCATGACGACATGCGCAATCTACCCTGACGTGCATACAGTGTGCTCGATTTTTTTTTTCGTGCTTAAATTAAGTCGCGTGTTTTTATGCGGCGCGTTTATTGCGGTGACATGTGGTATACTGGTGTGCGCCGCGGCCGATATGGATGTTTGCTGAATCTGTTCGGTTGGCTTGCGGTTGCGGGTCCGGAAGAAAATAATAAGATGCGTTTCGGTAGCGCGTGGATGGCGGATGGCGGTGTGCGCTGCGCTGCAGAGAGAAGAGCAGCTGGCGGGCGATGGCGCGGATCCGATCCGATCGCAAATACACCTGCCCAAATATATATGCGGCCATTGCACGAGCGCGCGCATGCGCATTCACACGTTCATGAAATAAAAGTGTTTTTAGTGCAAAAAGTGAAATATTTTAACACTAGTGATGAAAAATTTACATTTTAATGTTTTTTACGTGTGGAAAAGTGTTACTTTTTGCACTAGTGCTTAAAAATAAGTTTAAATGTGTAAAATCAACTTTTACAAACCAGTAGAACACATTTTTAACGTTTTTTATGTGAATTTGAGTGCAGAAAGTTGTAATTTTGAGCACTAGTGCGTAAAAACCTATTTTTTTACACGAATTTAACCTAAAAACACAAAAAACTAAAAAATGTTACTTTTTACACTAGTGCGTAAAAATGAGTTAAAATGTGAAAAATCAACTTTTACAAACGAGTAAAACACATTTTTAACATTTTTTACTTTAATTTGCGTGCAAAAGTTGTAATTTTACGCACTAGTGCATAAAAACATATTTTTTACACGAAATTAACCTAAAAACACAAAAAAATTAACTTTAAACACTTCCAAAGTGATTTTCTGATGTAATCTGTTGAATTGGTCTGAGACGATTATCTTCCACCTTTTCAGGTGTTTTTCTTCACAATTGTCACCCCTGGAGATCATAGAGATCAATTTCAGATCAGATCAGATAAAAAATTGAATCATAAGGGTTCATAAGCCACCAGACATCTTGTATTATGATCTGAATATAATCCCGAACGAAATAACCGCATTAAACAAATACCTGTTGATTTAATTTGTGTCTTTTATTGCGTATTCTAAGAAGAATGCCTTCGAAACGTGCGCAGAATCGTAATCGAATTGCATTGTGGCCAGTTTTCTTTAAAAACGTCAAAAATTGTTTTGATTTTGTATAATATTGAATTATTACACATTATTTGTTCACCGCTGCGTGATTTTAGGTGCGCTACATGCGCGCACGTGTAAATATGCGATTCATTTGTTTTTCACATGGAGATAAACGTTATCGTTGACGTCTTTAGTGTAGAAAACGCATTCCAATGCCATTACTTAATATGCAAGTATAAATATGTATATTTGGTTGCATACCTACGTTGTATATTGTATAGTAGATGATCAGCTGCTGCGCAGTTACTATTTCCGAGGTGTCTGCGCGTTGAATTGAATCGAAAATTGAATTGAAGAAGTCCCATCACATCTGAAATAGATGAGAATAGTGTGAGGAGAGTAGAGATGAGGTAAGCTTCGCGTGTATGCCGTGTGGCCGTGCATGGCGCGCACACGGTGTATCGCCAGCCAGTATACTTTTTCCATTCTTGTCTTGCGTAGATATGCACTGCGTGTGTTGAGGTGAGTGGTGTACATTTGGTTGCTGCTGCTGCTGCTGGCGCGCGCGCTTGGCTTCGGCAGTTTCCGGTCGCGGCGGCGCGCACGGTTCGCCAGTCTGCGCCGACAGTTTGTGCGGGTGAGTCGCCGCGTACGCATCCTCAGCGCAGTCAGTGTGCCGGTAGTCCGGTAGTCGCACAACACCGGGCATACACAACAGTCTTCTCGCCGCCGCGGCGCGCATCGCACACACACGATCGACCCGGCAACAACACACATATTTAATATCATCAAACCTGAAGGCACACACAACACGCGTCGAAGAGCAGCACACACACGACGGTGTGTGTGTGTGGTGTCCCGACCACGGGCGAACGGTTTTTATGTAACGAAATCATTTTTATATTTCGCCGCGCCGCGCCGGAACACCAAAAAGTTGTGGTGTTAAACGAGAGTGTGCGTCGTGTGGTGTGTGTGTGATTGTGTTGTTGTTGTTTTTCTTCTGTGTGATGTCTTCTGCTGCGCCTGCTGCCGCTGTTGCAGCACACTGGAGGAGAGGACATAATCCGTCGTCGTCGTCGTCCGCGTAGGTTGTGTTGGTTTGGTGTGCTACGGCGCCAGACTCTACTCGCCAGACTCTTGCTTTGCTCGCTCGCTTGGATTATATTATTTTTTTTGGGTTTCGGCGGTGGTTGTGCGCCACCCCGAATGTGTGTGCAACGTGAGTGCCTTATCCTGCGGCTGCTGGTGGGACGCGCTGCTGTCGCCTGCTGCTGGGGAAGATGTTTCACCGCGTAGTCGCGTCTTGCAACGATCATTCAAGACTGACACTGCATTTGCCTTCGATACAATGTTTCTAAAAACCATACAATGTACGTATTACAATAGTATTTCTTTAAAAGTTGAAATTTTTCCTTTTGTGACCGGAAAACTTGAGAATCGAACTGCGCATGAGCGATATCTTTCGATACAGCTGATTGGTTAGATAGGGGAAGTGACGTCAGTGTTTAGTAGTGAGTTTTGATTGGTTTTTAGGTGTTTTAACATGTTTTACGTGCGGAAATTGATAATTTTTGGTAGTAGAGGTTAAAAATAGGTTTAAGTGTGGAAAATTTAGTTTTACGAATGATTTTTACATAAATTTGGGTGCAAAAAGTTGTTATTTTGTACTTTTCACACTCATTTCAAGTAAAAATCACTAAAAAGTTATTTTAAACACTCAAAATTGTAATTTTTGACTCAATAAAATCTATTTTAACATATTTCACGTGCGAAAATTGACAACTTTTCACACTAGAGCTTAAAAATTGGCTTAAATGTCAAAAATTAACTTTTGCAAACAAGTTTTTAACATTTTTTACACTTTTTATATAAATTTGAGTTCAAAAAGTTGTAATTTTATGCACTAGTGCATAAAAATGTACTTTTTACACTTATTTCAAGTAAAAAGCACTAAAAAGTCACTTTAATCACTGAAAATTGTAATTTTTGATTCAATAAAATCAATTTTAACAAATTCCACGTGTGAAAATTAACAACTTTTCACACTAGAGCTTAAAAATAAGTATAAATGTCGAAAATTAATTTTTACAACTAAATTTTCAACATATTTAACATTTTTTATATAAATTTGAGTTCAAAAAGTTGTAATTTTGTGCACTAGTGCATAAAAACACACTTTTTACACTAAAAAAACGCTAAAAATACTTTTTCTTTAATTTATTATGTTAACAAATAAATTAAGTTATTTGTATTTCTTGTTAGGAAAATTAATCGATGACCTTGTGATGAAAACTTGTGAAATACATACATTACACACGCGATAACATCGAAATATTCGATTTTATTACCACCTACCGCGTTCCCCAGCTCTAACTAATAACATATTAAGCGGAAAATGAATTATTGCCGGTTTTTCCCCAGCCTGACATTGACCGAAAATATTTAGTTCATTGATTTTCAAACATTTTACGATTTTACGTCGAAAAACCTCACGATAAAATCTTTACATGCTAGAAATTATAATTATATGTTTTATTTTAATATAGATTTCAAGTTCAAGTCATTTGAATGTGCGCTATTTTTAGCGATTTGTTTCCTGACTTGGCAACTTGCAGCGAAATTTGCATTCTTTACGATTTGAACACGTGTGATTAATATGCGCGCCGTTCGGGCTTCGCTGGCGCAATAATTACCAATTGATGAAGTGTTTAAGATTTATTGCTGTGCATTGCATGCATTCGCGTTGCTTGCATGGATTAATCTAGTTGTAACTTTGCTAGATTATAACTCGAGCATGGAAGAGACATGCTGCTTGTGCTGTTTGTGGGCAGCACGCCAAAATTTAACACGATACAGCACTCAAATGCTAAAGTTAATGCGGAATATGAAAGTCGTTGAAAATTTATTATTAATTGTCGTGTTTCAAACGTGGAGAATGTTCGTGTTTACGTTTTGTATTTGAATGGAATCCTATTTGTCATTTTGTGTCAAATTGCTTCAACACTTTGCGTGTAATCATCAATTTCTTGGTTTAAATTTAGATTTTGTTGAATAATATTATTTGTCATTAGATATGAGCTGAATATTTGGCCGAGTAGTTGATTCAGATGATTATAATTTTTAATATTAATTTTTTAGACAAAATTTCTTAAATTTTTTTTAATTTGTTTTTTTTTGAAAATTTGTCGATTATTCGGTCGAATATTTGGATTTTATTTATCCCTACTAATAACAATAAATTCCATAAAACTAGGTTATGTTAAATCCCTACTAATATTATAAATGCGAAAGTCCTGATGTTTGTTACACTTTCACGCAAAAACTACCTAACCGATCATCATGAAAATTTGTACACATATTCTTAGTGGTCCCCGAATGGTTATAGGCTACTTTTTATTTAATAAAAAAAATGTTTTTAAAATAAAATAAAAGAAATAGTTTAGCCAATAATACCTCTGCATCTGGCTATTTTGACTACATTTTAACGCCATCTAGCATTCCAGCAATGGAAGCTCAAACCTGGGTACTATTATAGTACTATCACACCGTATTATCAACACTGTACCGACAGCTACGTCAACATCAAATCCAATTGACTACACCTGCGGAGACTACTGTACACTATAATTTCCATAGACTATACTTTCAGCCATTTTAAACTTCCCGCCATTCTACTTCATTGTTACTTCTTCTGTGACTATACAGACGCGTACGGAAGCAACTCCCCATTATTTTAGATATTCGCGAACTTGTGCCGCGGGTTAAAAGCTGTTTTAATATTTTGTCATGATTACTTACGGATATTTTATTATTTTATGTTTTGGGTCAACAGTTATGACGATCCGTGCAAACAATTAAAAACGAATTCATATTTTTATTCGGCGAATATTTTGAAACAACTTCACACAATCGACGAGCGAGTTTACGCCTGGTACAGCGTACCAGCGCAGTTGCCGGCTAAATGCGTGTTATTTTATTAAGAATTGCTGTAAGTGTAAATAGGTCCGTGCGATTAGAATCTCACAAAGCGGAGCAAAATGAACACAATACGAATGCTTAAAATGAATCTCGCAAAGAAAAAATTATAACTTGTGCATTTTATTTGTGTTTTACGTGCAAATAGCCATTGATAAGGCTTACATATTATTTATTTGAGTTTAATATTTTTAATAGTAATTTTATGTTGGTTATTATTTAGTTTTGTACATACTGAGAGCTAATGAGTATTTAAAACGTAATTTTAATGTTTTTGCGTCGTGCGACCGGACTGTAAATTCAAATTACCCGCAAGAATTACGCTCAGAGTCTTTTCATCGTCATCGACGAAAACGCGGGATGGAGCAAAAAGAAACCCGCTTCTCTTAGCTTGGTATGATGCTTACCACGCAAACGTAAGCTGCTCTTGTTCATAACCTCATAATCGTGCACTGAGCAACCGATCGCTAAGTACCTGCTAACTGCCTACTTAAGTCACCTCAAAACAAATCAAAACTTTTGCAAAAAATCACACAATGTACAAATTGGTTGTTTTATATTAATTTCCTCGTTATAGCGTAACAGCTACTCTGTGTAACGACGAAAAATATTTTACCCTTGCAATTATGAGCTAGAATATTTCTTTTAAATACGACATCGATGGTAACATTTGAAATATTGTTCACCAGTACTGATCCCAACGTCCCTACAAATTGCAATGCAAATTTCTATAACTTTAAGCACGATTTTTCGAAAGCTAATTTGTTGGGGTGCACGTTTGCGTTACTGAAAATCATTTAAACAAAACACAAATTAGATACAACTGAGCGACATAGATTCATTTTTAGACTTCAGGAAATATTTACCGGCATTTTTACAAGAGTAATTGAGTTTATAACCAGCTTACAAAAAATTAAACAGACGTCAAACCGCGTAAAATCTTAATATTTGATTATTTTTTCCCTTGATTTAATGTCAAATTTATGTAACATGATAAATATTATTATAAAGAGGTTAAACAATATTTAAGTATATTATAACACAGGTAAAATGTTCTATTTGTTTGTTTATTTGATTTGTTTGAGTGCTTTGACTGTTTGCTCATTTCTTTGATGTCGTAAATTACAATTTATCGCGTTCGAAGTTGACTCTGCCTGCGTCGGTGTGCTTTCCACGTAAAACCCACTTTTCATACGTGAATAATTGACGCGCAAATTGCATCCCTCCCGGTTGACTTTTATAATTTTATCATTTCCATCTTCTGCCTGCCCACTTAAACACACACACCATCACTCCATCAATTTGTTTGTGTGCGATTTTAATTTCTCATCCTCCCAACTGGAATTATGCATTAATAGATTAATAGCGAAGGGGGTTCAAGCGTGTGCATCAGGCGATTAAATATGTAAACTATCGATTTGTAACGCCGGGGGTGAATTACGTGTAACTGCAAGGGTAGTTTTCTTACTTTCTTATGCGGGCGAAGACTTTGAACGATGAATTATTCCTACTTTTAAGGTGAAGTGAGGTGATATAGGCAACCGAATTAACATGTTTGTCTCGCAATAGTATTATTTACTTCGCATGCATGCAAACAGATAATTTGTGACTAGACTAGACTAGACGAGTTTTTGCACGTTTTGTGTGTTGTTTATTTTGTTTTGTTAATTTTTATGTTTTCTTGCAGTGGCGCACGTGATGTGTGCAGCATGGGGCTGGGGGCGGCGTCCGCCCGCCGCGACACCGCGGCCCCCATCGCTACGCCTGCCTTTGATCATCCGGTGCCTGGCGCAGCTCTTCGTCACGTGCTTTCATCGTTTCTAGCCAAGGTTCTCAGGTAAATACACAAAACATTAAATTTTATTTCTACGCTATTAAAATGGCGTCTTTAGCGCTATTGAAAGAATAAAGTTGTTTGTTATGATATTAAGATGCTGCGCATGAGTCATGTGTGCTTGTTTAGTTTATTTATTAGAGGAGTGATGAAGAAAAGTAGGAAATGAACAATTGCGCGCGCGAGTAGGCAGACGCCACGAAATCGACTCACAAATTAAGTCAGCCGCTAACTAACGCACGGATTATTCCTCTTGGCAGCGCTGCATTCAATCATGATAAGCGTGTGACATCATTTTCCTGCTGTGCCATCGCGAAATAATTGCATTTGATGCGTGAAAATTAAAATTATCTTGTTGACGCGTCAATTTCTCACAATTGCACTACTTGTGGTTGGTATTAATTTACTAAAGACAGGATATGCAAATTGTAAGTGCAAGTGGTTTATTTCAGACGTTCGGGACTTATACCGCCAGTCAAAGCATTGGGATTTATGTTTTTATGTATATCTGGTTGCCTATCTATCGGCAAACATGAAATATTGGTACTAATACCGGTATACCGGTATTTTTTGTTCCAAGTATTTAAATTTTTGAAATTTACGATTCATACCGGTATATCGATATTAGAATTGAGAAATACCGGTACAACCGGTATACCGGTATTTTTTATTCAAAATATTCAAAATTTTGAAATTTGCGATTTATACCGGTTTATCGATATTAGAATTGAGAAATACCGGTATAACCGGTATACCGATATTTTAATTTTAAAAACCGGTATACCGGTATTTTTTATTCCAAATATTTAAAATTTTGAAATTTGCGATTTATACCGGTATATCGATATTAGAATTGAGAAATACTGGTATAACCGGTATACCGATATTTCAATTTAAAATAATACCGGTATTCACATCTCTAGATACAATTATTTTCTCATTGTCGTTTGCATTGATGCCACTTGTGTGTTGGTGTGTCTCTGGTCGTGAATGGAAATGAAGGCAGCAGTGCGCGGCCCACATCTCTTCGCGTTGTTGAGTCGCGTCACCTTTTTCTCGCTGCCTGCATGAATGGGCCGGCGATAAAAAGCCCGGTAATAAATTTATATTCGTCGCGATTGTATTGTGCGACAGCGCACCGCGCCTCGCCAAACACGCATCAAATAGAAAGAGTCGCGTCACCTTTTTCTCGCTGCCTGCATGAATGGGCCGGCGATAAAAAGCCCGGTAATAAATTTATATTCGTCGCGATTAGTATTGTGCGATTGCGCGCACCGCGCTCTCGCCAAACACGACCAAATAGAACACGCTACTGCTGCTGGAGCTGTGGTTTGTTCTGGAATGTGATGATGTCACGTGTTTTACTAATTTGTTTATTTAGATTTTCTTTTGTTATACTTCGTTCAGTTACGTGTGCTCATAAAACACGACCAAATAGAACACGCTACTGCTGCTGGAGCTGTGGTTTGTTCTGGAATGTGATGATGTCACGTGTTTTACTAATTTGTTTATTTAGATTTTCTTTTGATTTCATGCAGCCAACAGGCTTGCTATTTTAAAAATTGTTAAATATTTATAGAGAGTTGATATTTTGCATTCTAGGCAGTTTTGTATCAAGTTTTTACAGAAATTTTTAAGTGTTTTTGTTTTATTAAAATTTAAAAAAATTAAAAGTGGGGCAAAAAAGTAAATGTTATTGACTTTTAAAATAAACAATAATATTTAATAAATATTTTCAAATAGCAAAATGGCGGGTTTTTAAACTTAAACTTTAAATATTTTGCGTAAAATTCACGTTTTTCTCGTTTTATTTTTAAAATTACGGCTTTTCTGTTTATTAAAATCGAAAAAATCAAAAAGTAGTTAAATGAAAATATTAGTGACTTTAAAAATAAACAATAATATCTTATAAATCTCTACAAATATCAAAATGGCGTAATTTTGAAGTAAAACTTCATTTTTTTCACCAAAATTTGCGTTTTTTTGTTACAAAATTTAATATATTATTATTGTTGATAAATAATTATGATTTTAATTCTCCAATTAACTTTATTCTTCCCAAGACACGGAATTTCCTGCAATATTACGATTGAAAATAAATAAAACCCGATCTCACGTTAATTAACTGTCATTAATCCGTAAATATTTGTTAAAAAATATTTAAACTTTCGGCTTGTCGTTGAGTGTGTGCACTTCTCTCACATTAAAAATTATTACAAGCGCAGAACGATTCCATTCGATTTGTTTAGCGAGCACTAATTACGAAAGAAAGTTTTGAATAATTTACGAATTACATGCAGGAGAAATAAAAACACAGCCGACATCAACAATGTGCCATTATTATTAATGGCATCGCATCGTCTTACTTAGTTTTCTCTTTAATCTGTTGAACGATAAATTCTTTTAGATTCGACGCAAAACATTAATTAATAAAGCATAATGTCCTTGATTAGTGTAACTCACTTATAGAGAAAATAAGAAATAAGTAAATGAGTAAAATGAGTGGATAATTTGTAATTTGTGTTATCCACTTACGTAATTGTTATTGTTTGTATGCGTTGGAGGTTAGGTTAGGTAGGCGAATGAAAGAAAAAGGAAACTCGACCCACAAAACGTCTAGAGAAGAAAAAAAACTAGGTACTATATTACTGGATAATTTATTTCATGATAGAAATATAGTCAGAGACAATTTCAGAGGTGTTTTTGTATGTTTGTTTCTTAATAACTCAAAAATTATTAATAATAATTGCATAATTTTTTCATAAATATATTCTAGGATAATTTCTGCGTATAATAGTGAAAAAATAATTTTGATATTGTTAATACACAAAAAGTTATTAACAATTAAAGTTTTTTTTGTGTAAATTTTAGGGAAAAACTACGAATTTCGATGAAATTTTTGATAAAATTTAATTTTACGGTTTAATTTTACTATTTATAAATTTCTAATAATGTAGCCGTGACTATATATTAAGTACATGCACGTTATTGCCGCGTGTTGGTCGAATCGATGTTTTATTGCGAGATCTTACGCAATCGGTGCCGCGACAAATTTGGTAATTTGAGGACAAACAAATCCATAACAACCACACAATACCACCAACACAAATAATGCAAACAGAAACGCCATAAGAAAGAAAAAAAAACACTAGAAAGAATAATAATAATAAAAAGACATTTTTATTACTCAGAATTTATTTATGTATTAGTTAATTAACTACGAGAATGTTCAATACACATATTTTTTTGCTTTTGCTTAATTTTTACTTTTTACATCATTGTGTTACGAAATTTAATCTTAATTAACAAATTAACACCGTGCGATGACGACAACGACGTGTTTTTATTACCTGGCCAATTTGTACCATGTTTTAATTAATTAAAATTTGAGTTAACACAAAATATTTGCACAGTTTTTTTTTTAATTATAAATATATGCAAATGTAAATGAGGAGAAAGAAAGGTCTAGGGGCGAGTTTAGCACTAATTAATTAAATGTTTTTGCACATCATAAAGAAGTACATGTTTCGTGTTTATTTTATATACAGTGTGGTCACGATTTAATTAAAAATTTTGTATAACGGTGAAATATGTACAATTTTTTGAGTTTATTTTAATTTATTTGATATAGCGTTACAGATTCTCTGTGTAACGACGAAAAATATTTTTATTTCTAGCAATTATGAGCTAGAATATTTTTTCAAAGACATGACATCGATGGTAAATATTTTAGCCATTATTGTAATTATGATCCCAACATCCCTACAAATTGCAAATGCAAATTTCTATAACTTAAGCACGATTTTTCAGCTACCGTTGGGGTGCACGTTGCGTTACTAGAAAATCATTTAAACATAACACAAGTGAATACAACTGAGCGACGCGGAATTCATATTTAGACTTCAGGAAATATTTACCTGCATTTTCACAAGAGTAATTGAGTTTATAACCAGCGCAACAAAAGATTAAACAAATGCCTGTCCGCGTAAAATCTCAATATTTGGTTATTTTTGTTTCTCGATGATGATATTTGAACACATTGTATAATTACATTGTATTTTATATTCGGTTTACGTGATTGCGGCCGCGGCCCATAAATGAGGAGAAAGAAAGGTCTAGGGGCGAGTTTAGCACTAATTAATTAAATGTTTTTGCACATCATAAAGAAGTACATGTTTCGTGTTTATTTTATATACAGTGTGGTCACGATTTAATTAAAAACACTGTATAACGGCGAAATTTGTACATTTTGGTTGGTTTTTATTAATTTTCTCGTTATAGTGTTATAGTTTCTCTGTGTAACGACGAAAAATATTTTTATATCTATCAATTATGAGCTAGAATATTTTTTTAAAGACATGACATCGATGGTAACATTTGAAATATTGTTGTACTTATGATCCCAACATCCCTACAAATTGCAATGCAAATTTCTATAACTTAAGCACGATTTTTCAGCTAATTTGTTGGGGTGCACGTTGCGTTACTAGAAAATCATTTAAACATAACACAAGTGAATACAACTGAGCAACGCGGAATTCATATTTAGACTTCAGGAAATATTTACCTGCATTTTTACTAGAGTAATTGAGTTTATAACCAACTTACAAAAGATTAAACAGTTGCCTATCTACGTAAAACCTTGTATTTTAGTGATTTTCTTGAAAACTACTGGCGATAGAATTATAATTCTTTCACGATTTGATTTTCTATTAAATTCTACGTCGGATTAGTAAAGATTTTTTAAATTGAATTGTTAGAAAAAAAGTTATAGGAAATTAAAATTTAATTTTGTAAGAAAAACTAACAAAATTGTTAGAAATTGGCTTATAATTTTTTTTATTAAAAACTGCTATCAATTAAATTGTTTCATATTTAGATAAAAAATTTATTCTGAATAAGTTTGTATAGAAAGCATTAAAATATGTTAATTAGTTTGGGAGTTATTCATTAATAACGAGAGTTTATAACCAATTCAACAAAAGATTAAACAAATGCCTGTC